CTCTTCCGTGCATGGAGAGTTGACTTGACCATTGTATGCCCCAATGAATAAATGTTGTAGCAACGGTATGCCACATCTGGCAAAAAAATATTTAGTCAATTGTGTCTTGGAGTTTAAAGATGAAATTTTAATTACTTAAAAAATTTTCTTTCAAGCAGAAGAGTATTAGCAGCATATATATATATATATATATATATATATTAATAACAATGTATAAGGTTATGCAAATAATGGCCTGTATAATTCTTCTGCAATTCATTCCCAAATCAATAGTTGGTTTGAAATAATCCGGAACCAAATTTTCATCTGATTGCTCAGAGCAATTAGTACACTTATTGATGAGAAGTTAGTTGATAAGCAAATCATTACTTTGCCAAAACTTTCTAATCAATAAAACAAGAATACACATGCCTAAAAACCTTTTGATAAAATAATTTGGCTAAACTTGGAAAATCAAATAAATGACAATGGGATATAATAAAACTACTCGGTATTTTGCACAAAAATACGCCATTTTTCCGATATAACAATGGCAATAAATTTTCATACTACTATCAAAATCAGAAAATTCCTTTATTTGTATGCAACTATTCTACCATACTTGCACATGCCAGGCCTCGATGTTTCCAATTGAAACGCTTTTCAATAGGGTATATTTATGTATATATAAACAAACAAGAAGAAAAAAAAAAGTAGCAATTAAATAGACTACTAATCTACTATCATGATTCACCACATAGAATACCAAGAAATACAACAATTTGAATGACTAAAATTTCAGAACTTATATCCTTCAAAAAACTAAACTAAAAATCGTAGAGTAGAATTATTGAGCCAAACCTGAAAACCCATTTACCGGTTTGTGGTTTTCTGAGAAATGGACCAACCAGTATCGGCCTCGGAAACTTGAAGAGAGGCCAAGAGCTTTTGAAGGGCAAATTGTGAAATCCCATTTACAGATAATTCCTCGCATTTCCAAATTTCCTGCAAAATCACAATTAGCAATTAGAGACCCACGTGAATAAATTAGTTAAAAAAGAAGAACAAAACAAGGAAGAAAGAAAATTTTTATGTCGTCGTACCAAAGGTTGTATCTTCCATATCCGCTCCCCCTAAATGATTCATATAAGAGCCACGGTATTTCCCGCCTTGGGATTTCATCAAATAATTTTTCAGGGTTCCTTTGGTTGGATAGAGGCTAATTACATCTCAAATTTCTGGTGAATTCGAAAAATGAAAAATTTTCCCGTCACTCCGTCAGTGTAAGAAGAAAAAAGGGAGAGACATGCCCAAACCGTTTCTGCCGGCAAATGTTTTTTTTAAAACCCAAAAAAAAAAAAAAATTGTGGGGGGCCTTCATAGTAAAATAAAAATAACAATAAAAAAAAAAAGAGATGTGAAAAAAGGTTTTTTACGTGGACCAGCAACACTTTGGTGAGAGAAATCTCCCGAATTGTTCCTCAACACGATTAACGTAATTTTCTTATATTAAATTATAACAGTTATTATTTTTAAACATATGATTATTAATAATTATATATCCATAATTATATGAATAATATTAAAAAGTATATCAATAAATGATTATTATTTTTAATATGGATAATAATAAAACTATAGATAGATGAGTAGATCATTCTTACTGGATGTCTTTTTTTCTCGTAATCAGCCTTTTTAAAGTTCTTTCAAAAAGTGAACTACTCTAAATTCTTTAATTTATTTGCTTGTCTTTTCAGTTTATTGTTTTTGTTTTGATGATTTGTTGTTGTCGGAAGCTAACAAGTTCCAACGGTTATCATGAACCCAATAATATGAATTCTTTTCTTTATTTGACTGTAGAAAATCATATCTACAAGATATATTTGAAAATTTAAGCAACGTACGAAAAAAAAAAAAAAATCTCCTTTTAAAAGTGTCGTGGCCAAAAGAAAAGTTTTACAACCATAAGACCGTTCGACCTATCGTTCCAAACTACTAGCTTTTCTGTGTAAAAGTCGATACATTCACATATTTTATGAGAACAAGTACTCATCACTATAATAATCACCCAAATGATCAAGAGACCCCAACACCAATAACTTAACCAACAACACCATAAACGAAAAAACCCCAAGCTTAATCACGTATTACATTCGAGTAATTAACTTATCAAAGCAGTACTCTAGCTATTCAAACTTGGTGAGATCTTTGTTATGAGGATTTGTACGCCATTTCCAGGCTCTACGATCATTCTATAGGCAGGAGAATGGCTATAGTTGGGAGATAAGGAGAAATCAAATTTTGAGATGATTAGTGAAATGATAAGCTTCAACTCTGCCATTGCGAAGTTTTTACCCAAACACAAGCGAGGGCCCAGCCCAAAAGGGATGTAGGCCTGTGGAGATTTGCAGGCTTGGGCCACGCCGTCGGCGAACCTCTCGGGCCTGAACTCGTTGGCGTCTGGGCCCCAAACGTCGGGGTCTCTGTGCAGTGTTGGGATTAGAGTCCATAGGCATACCCCTTTGGGGACAGTGATGTTGCCCACTTGGGTCTCTTCTAGTGCCTCCCTTGACACAAATGCTGCCGGTGGGTAGAGACGCAGGGCTTCTTGAATCACCGTTGTCACCTGTTGAAAAGTTCATGAATTGGGAGCACAACTCATTAATGATTGAAAATTGTTGTATAACCTGATAAACAGTGGGCCCCACCTGTGAGGCACAAGTCGGGGCTCACCTTTTGTGAGATAGTGAGCATTTAATCCGTCATGACAAATGAAATTACTTTTAATGATTGTCGTCACAACGCCACATCACTTGATCAGTGTCATCAAAAAAAATGTTGAAATTAAAAATCCGACTAATAACGTAATTTAGAATTTTTGAATTTTTATTTGGTTACGTTGAATTAAAGGAAATTAATATAATTCTGATATGATATAATAGCTTAAAATTGTATATCCGAGATGTGATATATAATTTTTTTAATTATAAGATCAAAACCAACACTAATCTTGTTTTAGATTAGTACGAGCCCACTTCATAACGGGACTTCACAAACAAAGCAAGCTTGAAGAGATCAGCATTGGTCTTAAAAGCATGGATACACAGTAGAATTGCAGTAGTACGTCACATTAATAAGTATCACTATACTATAAGACCCGTTTAATATATGAAAATGACACTATAGGATGACTGGCGCTTTTGTAATGCATATGCTTACCGTCTAAAATTGATAACTTTGTAGAATTTGAGTAAATTTTATGGAGGAGATACTCCGCTAATGAATTAATAACTCCGGATGCACTATTTGATTTATGTGGCGCACCGTTTGTACAGAGATGTATTGATAATATTTAAAGACTTCACTCGTGATATTCAGTTTCATATTATAATAGTACGGTTATGAGCAACAATTGCATGAAATACATATGATTGGGTGCTTTAACTAGTTGAAAATTTGTATTCTGAATCGTTGGATTGAGTCTTAATAAATTACTTTTCGAAATTATAACGATAATAAACTAGTTAGAAGTACGTACTATTTTCAAGTGAGGCAGCGAATTAGCATCCGGGATGCCATTGGGGCAAACTTGAGAGAACTCCGATCGTATGCGAGCTTGCCACTCGGGATGTGAGGCGAGGAGCATCAAACACCAAGAAGTGGCGACGGCGGTGGATTCATGTCCGGCAAAATATATGCTCTTGCAGTTATCAACAATGAAACGCCTACATGAATCGGTGTCTAGACTATTGTCGCCGCTAGCAGCCTCCAATATCAACTGTAACAAGTCCTTTTTCTCTGTGCTTTCTTGTAATTGGTTATCACGTTCTTCTATGGCCTTCCAAATCAACAAGTCTATTTCCTTTTCTAAGCACCCCATCTCGTTTTGCTTTTTTGTTCCAAAAATTCTGTCACATCAGAATATTGTTTTATTTGTGAGTGATCAAATGCTAGAGAGTATGATTCATGTACAAAAGTTTAGTCATTGAAAAAAGATACGCCATCTCCCATCACTTTCACATGCTAATATCTTTTCTCAATAAAAGGACATTCCGTCCTTTTGTGTCTTTCAATCAATCGTAATATATATTTAAAATTCATTAATACAATAGAAAAAGATCCAACCCAACATACTCAAAGGTGTTTAACGCACAACATCATGAGACTTTAACATAGGATTCTAGAGTATCCAACCTCAAATTCATGTTGAAATCATTAGTGATTTTTATGTGCCAATCTTACATTATAATCCTAACTCTTTTTTTTTTTTTTTTTTGATTCCATAACCCTAACTCTTAAACCATCCTCATTAGTGATTTTTATGTGCCAATCTTTAAGACACTTTAATTATTATATAGAAACTTCATATAGATTTAACATGATATTTTCAGTTGTGTTGAATTTCATATATAACTAAGAGTATGTTTGTTTCATATATTTAAACTTAAATTTTTAATTGTACTACATAATTTTTCTTTCACAAAAAAAATTAAATTTCAAATTTTAAAATTAAAAATTACAACTTAAATGTACATTTTAAACGGACTCTAAAACTTTCATAATTTACAAGATAACACAAATATTTAATAAATTAGTTGATGTAAGTACTGTCGGTCTAACTAAGCATTCTTATGTAAGCAATTTATATTTATATTATTTTTGTTTTAAGAAGCGGCTTGTTAGTGGAATAATTTAAAATATAAAACAAGAGAGAGAGAGAGACGTAGGACTTCAAAATTTTCTGACATCTCTTATCTGCCTCCCTTGTTAGTAGGTGGAGCATTAGTGTTGGCATTTCGAATATGCCATGTTATAACCTTCAGATACCCAAGTTCTTTTTAATTTGTTCTTATCCCTCGCCACGTGTCGTGTGTGAAAGTTTAAAAGAAAAGGAGATAGAGGGTTAATACGACAAAATAATAAATACTTTATGTCCGTTCATTTCACCGATTTGAATTTAAAATTTAAATTTTATTATAGTAAAAAGTATTAAGAAACAGTCACATTTAACTTTTTTATTACAGTAAAAAATTTTCGTATAAAATTACATCTAAACTTAAATTAAAAACTCGAATCAACAATCTAAACGGGTCCTATAAACACGCCACAATCAATAGAAAGTGATTTCTAATATAATTTCTAATAAAACAAAACACGTACCTAAGATTGGTAACTCCGAAAAGAAAGGCTTGATGAGAAATGGTCTTTTGGAGGCTTCTAAGCTTTGAGAAAACCTCTTTGCCTTTGGCATAAGAGCTCCCAAAGCAGACCCTTGAGATGACATCGGCAGAGACACCCCTCAGGTCCTCATCCACTTTAATCTCTGCCGTCATCCCACCTTGAGCTTCAATGCACTCTTCCCATTTCCTAAGCATTGGCTGTACTGACTCCAGTATTAGCCCCACCATACCCTGCCCACATCATAATTTTTGGCCCCATTCAATTATATGAACAAATAATAGCCCTACTTCAATTAATTTGGCCCCATTATTAATTACGCTTTCTAGGCCTTTGCTAGAAGTTTCATGATAATGAAGAAGATCTCCTGATTTTTTTTTTATTTTTCATAAATTATTTTCGCACATTAAGTTAAGATACAACAAAAAAAAAAAAGGGTCGGATCAAAATTAAGAACATACATTTTTCAGTAGAGAATGTCTCAGATACAGTGCATCTTTCTAAACGTTAAATTTAATTAAAATTACATAAAAAATGTACGAGTCTAAAAAAACATGATGAAAAAATTTAACGACTAGAGTGAGAATATGAAAAACACGTTAACATAAAAAAGTAAGTAGCATTTTTGTACTATAGAGAGTGTTGTGGCCAAATATTCAATAAAGACGCATTGCATTGTAGAATTCATGTGATTATAATTATGATATTTAGCAAATTGAGGTGAGATTTGACATGAAAGAATTTTGTCGACTAAGAATTTATTACCTTGACTTTGTCCATGAAGAACTCGGGAGCAACAATCTTTCGTTGTTGTGCCCATAAAAGGCCATTTGATCTCAAAATGCCGTTGCCAAGCATTGGTGCAAGTCTCTTGGTCACATAAGAAGGCTTGCCCAAATCCAACGTCATACTTTGGTTCATTTCCTTTACTAACTCTGCTTGGTTGATGTACAAGTGTTGCCTCATCCCAGTTGAATATGTGTACAATAAACCTGCATTTCATAATTTATGGTAATACAGAAAATGATTCATTTTAGACATTTTATTGTGAAAAAAAAAAAGTAGACTAATGCCACTGAGGGATATATATGTGTGTATATATATATTAGATACATACACACACATTTAATTTATTACTTTGCTCTTTCTAAAATTCTCCAATTACAAACTTTGTGCGTGATTATTCGAAAAGTTTCATTTTTTACTTTTACTTTTATCTCACTGTTTTTAAAATTTGTTTTGCTTGCACCTTTTACTTCAAATTTAAAAATCCAAAAATAAGAATTAGACATAGTACTGTATGTGTTTTTTATATTTAGAGGAATAAAAAAATATAGATTAACAAAAAAAAAAGATAAAAAGGTAATAATAAAATAAAAGTATAATAAGACTTTTAGTATTTATTACACTAGAAATACCTCTCTTCCGCCCTCAGATACCATATCTCCAATAAGTAACTGAATTATTGTTTGCTTATTGCTGGATGTAAAGCTGGCCATTACTTAACAAAAAATAATGACAATGTTTTTTCAATGATATTTGTTGGTTACTTTCATTATTAATTTTTCTATTCTCTACGTGCAAACACTATAGTGTATAAAAAATTATAATACGCCGTGTCATGTTATATTTTATACATACACATTAGAGTTCATAGATATATCGTGATTTTTGCTCGATCTCTATGCCCCAATATTTATCATAGTGGGACATTATATGTTTCCTCATCCAATGAAAAAAATCATGGTTCAGCTGCAGGTAGGAAAAAAAAAAATATGTATTATAGTTAAATTTGAAGAAGGGGAGAGGAGACAAACACTCTATGAATTTAGATTTTTACCATTTACTTTTAATAAATATTTTTTTAGTCAAATAATTATATTAGTTAAAAGAGTATTAATTAAGAATAAGGAGTAAAAATCAAGACCCATGCACTCCAAAAGGTAAGTTCAATAATTTTTGAGAAATTTAATTTTCTAAATTTACCCTTAAAAGTGCAAGGATTTAGATTTTTACCCATTCCTCTTAATGAATATCCTAATTTAATTAAAAGAGTATTAATAAAGAGTAAAGAGTAAAAAGAGTAAAAAAAAAGGAATTAATCTCCTTTTTCTATAATTTTCTATTGAGTAATCTTGACAAATACTCATTAAAAGTGTATGGGTCAAAATTTTTACTCTTTATTCTTAATTTATAATCTTTTTAATTAAATAATTAAACTAATAAAATAATATTTATTAAAAATAAATGGTAAAAGTCAAGAGTATCATAGATAAATTCCCTATTTTTTCTTTTCTATTTGAAAAGAATGTACATGGCCTACTTTCAATTATGTAATGGGCCATGAGTGAGCTACGCAGTTTTGGACTTTAAGACGGCCCTATACAAGCCAATCACAGTCATCGATCTTTTTACAATCTATATTATATACATATTATATATATATATATATATATATATATATTCACACCAAGAGAGGACCGCAATCAATCAAATATAAAAATAAAAACATTTGACATTACCAAATTACTAAAGGAACTAGTGTATATTTCACTTGGATTTTAATATTACAAGTGCCGGTGCTAGGCCCCCCCAATTATATACCTCTTTTCTATAAAATAAAATATTTATAATATTATAGTTCAAACATAATTAAAGCGGTCAATGTCACCAACCATTTTTAACAATATAAAATAGTCATATGAGCCCTCTCTCAACGTTGTTCAATCAAAATCCTATTCATTTCATAAAATCTTATTCAACTTTTCTTCTTATATATGTGCGTGTAAATATATGTTGGAAAAATCTAATTCAAATTGCCTATGCTTTGATGCTGCTTAAAATTGAAATCAGTGGAAAAACTGAACAATAAATCCAAATAAAATCCAGTTTTCTCCGCATGAGTGTTGATTCCCACTAACAAAGATAAAATAAAATATCAAATCTTAGTCTTCCTTGACTAGAATTATCCGATTCACATTTTCGGCAATTACTAAATTTGGTCAGAAACGGCTTAAATTAGAAGTTAGAACCGCCGTCTTTTATCTGGAGCCTGAAAATTTTCACTCTTTTTTGGTTTTAGTAACGTATCACTACTTCAGCATAAATTCAAAAGAAACAGAAAAAGAAAAACAAACAAAAACATTAAAAAAAATATATGATATTTACGTAAGAATCCCATGGAACTTTGTAAAAAGGACAAGTCATGCTTCATTAGCTTATTGTCTTTTTTCTTGAGAAATACGTTAATTTAAATCAGAATAATTTTAATTATAATTTTAAAATCAGAATTATGATTTATAATTTTAAATTCAAATTATGATTCTGAAACTATAATTCAGAATTAGATGTTTGAATCACTTTGAATCAAGAGGCGGATAGTTTTAGAATCACGAGTGATTATGATTTAAAATATTATATCAGATTCTGAATCACGATTTAGAATCATACAAACCAAACACTGATTCTGAATCATAATTTAAAATTATTGTAAATAAACACTAATTTTAAATCAAAATATAAAATTATGAGTTTAAATCCATCTACTCAACTAACCTTAACACTTACAAAACAAACAAGTTAGCTTTTAATTTGGTTACGTGGGCAAGGTCATAACTGATAAACTCATAAACCAATAAATTTTCTTATTTCGTTAACAAAAAGCACTACAATCATAATTATTTAAATATATAATATTGATTATAGTTTGCTTTTTGCGTACCGTACTCTTTTCTCCATTGCTCCAAGTATGGGAAGAGAGTGGAGGTGTAATCGTGTGCGACGAATTCGGAGTCATGGTTCGGAGCGGCGGCTTTGATGGCGTGCAATTGGATGATCTTCTGCATCTCCGGTAGATTTCCGTAAAAAAACGACGGCGGAGGGCCTTTGATGCCTTGCATTCGGAGCTTCCTCCTCACCCTTTCAGATTTTAGCCAAACGCTGTTGTAGACATGAACTAACAAGCCCACAACGACAATAAAAGCTAAAGACAACAACACCCTCATCAAAACTACAACATTAGTGTTGGAGTCCATATCTCTCAATATTCTCTCTCTCTCTATCTCAAACTCTCTGTGAGTTGTATATGTGTATTTATATATGTGTATGTGTGTGTATATATATATATAGAGAGAGAGAGAGAGAGAGAGAGAGAGAGAGAGAGAGGGAGAAAGTGGCCTATATATTGACACATGGAGAAAGAGAGAGGTTAGGACCCATGAAGGAAGATTCTGTGCTATTGTGTGAATAGATATAAGAGTTGTGGGCAATTGTAGATATTGATTGACGCATAGGGGAAACAATAAGAAGCTATAGCGGCCGCAATATGACATATATGCTGATATGCACATATTAAATTACTTTATATATATGAATAATATATATTGTACACCCTAATTTTTTAGACAACAATAAAATTACAGAAAATAAACAAATAATTATTCACAAAAGTTATATTGGTTCATCTTTGAGAACTATATATGTCTATTTTGCTGTTTTACACGATCCAAATATTTGTGCCACTAAAATTTTATTTTCTATTGACTTAATAAAAGACATGTTCCACTTTCATGACATAAATGTTAGGTAGTGTTATTGTGAGTGGTATTTTCGGTTTTTTTTTTTTTTTTCAAAATTTTACCTTCTTTTGTGTGTTTTTTTCTCTATAATTTTTTATGGAGTCTCACAAATATTATAAAAAAAAAAAACAACTGAAAATACAAAATAGATCAACTTGTTGTTTCTCGTTAGAGCAATAACCATATAACCTCTAGACACTTGACACGTTTATGTGTGATGTTATATAAATGTTGATTGCTGAGATATGTATTGATATTGAACGAAATGGAATAACATGTTAGACCGCACAAAAATTTAGAGAGAGTCGTTTATTGGCCGATTGGGGGTGCTGATAGTGATAGGGATATGTATGCAATTAATTAAACAGCGTGGTGGCTGATGAAAAGTGTTATAGCGTTATCATCGACCATAGGCGGCAAAGTGCTTTTCCCTGAATATAATTATAGTGGACCCACGTAAATTATAAGTTTGATCTTTGAATCTAATATTGCTGATTTAGTTATGAGAGTTAATGAACAAAGTCATAGACGAGAAAATCCATAGGATGTTTGCTATTGACTCATCGGTAACGGGCAATAATAAATTAATCGATAAGTGATGAATATGTGGTTAAAGGTTTATCTTTCACGATCTTAAACTCTGAATATTTGTGTCGTCTACTACCTTAATATTTAATTTAGAATATATCTTGGACTACAACTCCATCTATATTTGTTGTTAATACATCCTAATGCATATAGGGCCCGACCATAAAATCTATATATATATATATATATATATATATACTAATACCAGTCGTCCCTTAAAAAAAGAGAGAGAAAATCCTATCCATTCATTAACTTTATTATTATTTTTTTTTTCTCTCTTTTTGGATTATAGGTAGAACTAGGTTTAGTTACCTAGGGTTTCATAGTTAGAACCTATATGTATATGTTTGTAGGCGTAAAGCGTTAGAGGAGGATATTTTAGTGAAAAGAAAAGACTCAGAAAGAGATAAGTTCGACCAATGTCCCACTGATAATTCGCTGGTCTCTTGCCAGATCGAGTTCAAATTCTCGTGAACAGTGAAAAAAAAAGGTTCGAGCAATTTTTTTTTGAGATGATCAGGGTATATAGTATATAATACAAATAAACCTTGTAGAGTTTGGTAGGAATTAATTTTATTTTTGCATCTCTGCCGAACTGTACAAACATGGTGGTGTTATATATTAATTAATAAGAAAATTATAGCATTAATCTCTCTCCTTCTCGCGTTAAAGAAATCCCAAAAATTGCAAGCATTCAACTATGTGAATTGACTAAAGAGTTAAATCAAAGAGCAAGTGCTCTCAAGTCCCTCTCACAGAACTTCTTTTTATTTGCCTCCTACTACTACTACTACTATAATTATTGTTATTATTATTTCGTAAGACCCTTTTATAGAGTTTCTTATGCGTAGCGCTTTAGAAAAAGGGAAGTATGTGAACTGGACTAGAAAATAAAAACGTTTGTGTCCTTAAAACGGAACATGAAAGATTATTATGATCCCGTGAGAGAATGAGACGCGTGATATAGAGATGATTTAAAAAAAAAAGTAGAAACTTAAAGCACATGGGACATGGAGAGAGGCACTTATTAGCAGGCCACGTGGGAGATCAGTGGCCGGTGGAAACATTGAGGCACCAATGTTAGTATGTTAGTATACATTGCAACAATATTGACTGCATATTCTATAGACCTTATTTAAGAATATATCTCTACTAGTAAATAATTGAAAGAAAAACTTGGTTTTTGCAAAAATTTATACAAATACAGTTATAGTCTGTGTTGAGGGTTCCTGAACAAATTAAAAATGAGACGGAGGAGTTGAAGATCTGAGGAGCATCTTTGGAATCGCCAACTAGAGTCTAATATTGTGTGTGTTAAATTAATTATAGTTATAAAACAACTAATTACTACCAACTATTTGACTTGATGTGCATAAATTACAAGGACACAGATAACAATATCTTTTTAATAAGATTAGATTACTAATAAGATTAGTTTAGTAGTAATAGTAAAAAAAATTAAATGCAATTAGAGGAAAATGAGACAGCCAAAGTTGGCAAGTTATGGGGCATCTCCCTCACATGGGATAAGTGAATGCGGACAATCCGGGTCAAGGTACTTGGACACAGGCTTCTAGTACTATTAGTAAACTAAAGGGCCCTTATCTTTGACTGTTTATGCCCCTATCGTTTTCACACACAACCTCAGTCCACAGGCCTCATTGTACGAGAAAAAAAAAAGCCGACTTAACAACCAATGCTTAATTATAGCTCAATGGAAGCCGTTTTTGTAATAAGCTAATTAAATCATCACAATTAGACCCTCTTGAATCTTGATTCTTTTTTTCTTTTTTTTTAATCCCATTTCTGAAATCTTGGTTAAATTTATTTCTAATAAGACATTAACATTAAAATAGCTGTAAGCTAGAGAGATTATCTATTCCATGTTCATTGTTGGACCACTCTTTTTCTTTTTTTTTTACTAGAATGTTCATATATAGGACCACTTGGAGTTGGAACGTGAGTTTTCGAAGTCTCAGGCGTTGGACCACTCTGTGTTTCAAATCTCTGTACTCCGAGGCGTGGGAAGCTAGTACTAGTTTTATAATCTTTAGAAACGTGTCGGGTTATATGTCACATGGCCATGGACAGTGTCGTGGTCCTTGGGCGCAAGCACAACAGCCCCGCAACATGCACAAAAACGACTGGCCAAACATGTTGCCGATCCATGTAAGTTTCAAAGCCACTCTTCAAAGTTACTAATATATATTGCAAAGTTTATATGTCTTGCTCATCTCATGCATATGTAGATATTTCAAGCCAATCTCTCTCCAGCTATAGCCTTTTCTTATCTGATCTCTCACCTTTTCGGTGAATCTTATTCATCTCTTACATCGCTTTCTATAGCAGTAGAATTTCTGTTCTAGATAGCAATGTGTCACCACTCTTGTGTATGACCTTTCCATGTGTATCGATATTTGGTGTTTTAATTATATATCATGCAGTTGGATATATAGCCGCGATCATTTGATAAGATATACTCGTTTTCTCACTAAGACCTTAAATTCGAGTCAGTTGTATCACTTATGTAAACAATTCGCTTCGTATATAATTTATAGATGATCATGTGAGTCTTACGCACCTTGCCTTTTAGAGTTTATATTGGTATTGGTAAGTCATTTTCTATTTCTATTTACTCTTTATTCTTCAGTTTGAGTGCTTAATTTTAACAGCGTATACAAGTAAAGTTGACACAAAACTTAATGTGTTGAGAATTTTCGTCATCTCAGTCTATATATTGAGATTTTCTATTTAATTTTTTGTGTCTCAAATGATGTGTTTAACCAACTATATTTTGTCATATCATTCAAATAAATAAGCATAGTAAAGTTAATAAAAGAACATTTTAAATTTTTTAAGTGATGTGACATGATATGATTGGTTAGATACTATTTAACTATAAAAATTAGACACGTGATTTAAATCATCTGTTTATACAAAAAACTCGTCACGCGCACTCCTATCAAACCTATAGAAAAGCCAAACATAACCTAATTCATAAGAATCATAACATAACATGGCATAGCATAGCCAGAGTTGGTGGGTTTCCACCAAAGTATATGCACTAGCTTGGCTCTTTGTTCCTTGAGCCACACCAAATGGACCTTTCATCTCAATACACATGATTTCCACGTGGCTCTATCCTATGGTGTATTAGAGCACTTAGATGTCGATTGGACCCCTAGCCAATGTAGTGTAAATTAAACGAAATGCTACTTTTAAAGTTTAGATATTCCATCCTACCACTCGTATGAAGTAAAATATCAATGGATATTTACATCAATTGGTGATAAAAGATTATTTTCATTAATTAATTAGTACACAAAAATTAAGATTTGAGTTGATGTCGCTAGTACTACTGTTATATTACTAATTAGATATGCTAATTATATTTAATACTAATAGCTGCTTTCTAACTCATCCGCTAATGGGTGACTAGTGACTAGAGAGCAAAGTACAGCTGGGCCACATCCAGACATTAGATTAGATGGGCTTTGTTGGTTTATAGGCCCAGCCCTCCACTCTCACACACAGCCTAATCCCAAAAAACACTCTGTTGTCAACTCTGAAAGACAGAAAGGAAACCGACCCACAAGTTTTTCTTTTTAATTTCCAATATTATTGTCACCGAAAATACGACTTTAGTTCAGTTTCAGTTGAGAGAATATCGTGTATGGTGAACAATTTTGGACAAGTCAATACAATTATCAAGTGGTTTTGCCTGTTTTTGTTTTGCTAACTTCCGCAATGCAACGGGACAAGATGAGGATAAGAGATAGCTTTTGATTGAAATTTTTGGCTACCGATTTGGTGCTTTGCGCTTGTCGAATCAAACAGTGTTCAAAACGGACCTTGAATTATTGAACTTTGAACAACAACTTCTCTTAACCTTTTAGAAATTTTGTTCAGTGAATGTTGTGTTTTGTAATTTTGCGGGATAATTTAATGATATTATGACGTAAAAAATATATATCTTTAATTTTAAGGAATTTTTACAGAGGAATTTGTCATTTTGCTCGAATTTTATTAAATTTTATTATATAGTCATCTTGTTTTTAATTTACTGTGATCGTGACTTAATGTGACGATTTAAAATATGTTTCTAATATTTGGTAATTAATTATTCAATTTTGTTAAGGGAAAAGGATAATTACTCAATTTCAAATTAAAGAGATGCGAAATTTATTTCTTTTCATATTTTGATAGAGAAACATCTCCCTTCGTTGAATTACTCAAAATATTCTATTATAGGTTTGCTTGAACCAAAATACAATAGAAAAATTAATCTTTGTACTTCGCTATTATAATGGGAATATGGAATGTGAGAATGTTCTTGGTCATGTAGCTTCTTTGCCTGCGGATACTAATTCTATCAACATTGTATAGTTGTAAAGTTGTTACTTTAGTTGGTAGAAGAATTTGATAAACAAGGACATAAATGGGATAGGGTTAGTTAGTCAAAATCAACAAGGACTTCCCTTCAAAAATTTAAAAGAAATCAAGGACTTAAATGATACCTCTCTCTTAGATATTTATTTTCTTAAGAGATGGTATTGAAAAAGATACTTGTTCTTTGGTTAATTCCACATCTAATTCCACCACAATGTGTAGAATTTAAATCTTTACTCCCAAGTTCAAAAAACAAAACGAAGAGTTAAAACTATTATGGTACATGTTTTTATTGATATTTAAGCGTTTATAAACATGAGATTATAAAGTGCAATCTTAACACAATCTATTTTATTTCAATAAAGAATTATCGTAAGAAAGAAATGAAAAACAACTCATCACTATTCATTTACTTGTGTATTTTGAGATATATTTTTCAAATAAATTCAATTCGTCTACAAACATTGCAACTTGTGACATTGTTTTTTTTTTTTTCATCTCATTCGTGCATATACGCAAGGGTCATTATCACTAGTTTTCCTGAACTTTAGGTTATTCTCAATTTGCCCTTCAAATTTTAAAAATTCTCACTTTACCCTTTGAACTTTTAATTGTTCTCACATATCCCCTTCCATTGGAATTTCTATTAAAAACAAACAGAGAAAAAGAGAGCAATGCAATCACATGGCTTTTCTGTTTGAATATCTATTGAAAATAAACACATAAAAAGCCCATGGGCGCACATAATGCCCTTTTTCATATGATTTTAACAAAATTATTACAAATGAGCTTAAATGGAACTAATTTAAAATGTAGGGGCTAAAGTGAGAGTTTTTAAAGTTTAAGAGACATAGTGAGAATGATCCCAAAGTTCAAAGGCACTAGTGATAATGATCCTATATGCAATTAACTCTAAAATAAGGGCTTGTTACAGGACTACCACGAGTTTTAGGCTTGGATTAACATATAGTATGACATAAACTATTACAAAAAATATTACAGCCATGTCATTACATTATATTTGGAATACCAAATATACCTTAGGATATTGGTATGTCTTCGGCCCTGATACCAATATCAGACTAAGATACCTGCCAGTACTCGACCATAAAACTGGTATCCAACTGAGATACACAGCGATATTCGACGGACAACCAATAGATAGAAGTCGCTAGAAAGCCTAAAAAATCAAAGACATCACCAATAATACGTGTAAAAGCACAAAAAATTACAAAATTCACAAATCACTACAAAAAATAAAAAATAAAAAAAACATAAAAAATCCATCGTATACCATAAATTCACCAAAATCACTAGAACCATCGAAAAACCATGAGCAATAGTCACGAAATTAAAAAATCACATACAAAATCAATGGAGAAAAGGTGTTCTCTTCATTGGCCAATATCCACTAGGATACCGGTCAATATCATGGCTGGTATCCATCGAAACCATCGTCGTTGGTGGTGGTACAACCATCATTGGCGTAGGAATATTCATAAATCATATACACAGAAAAATACAAAAAATTTCACCAAAAAACATCAAAACATATAAATCACAAATATGGAGATCTATTATGCACGTCCACCCCAACTAAGATCTTGCCATTGCTCTTGTTGCAATGCTACAAGGTTGTGTGTTTGGCTCGAGCTTCTCCACAGTGAGGCATCCTTTTCTTCCTCGACACCAACGACACCTAGGAGGAAAAGCGTAGTAATGACATATCAATTTGTCTATCGTCGGTGAGATCACCTCAGATCTTGTGTCAATAACAAAATAGGCGACGACTAGCCATGGAGAAGCAACACAAGACAGATGCAAAATGAGATGGTGGCGACGAATTGCACAACAAGATGGCAATGACCGCTTGCACAAAGATGTAGCTGAGGAATGGTGTGTGGAGCTTGGCGGCAATGAAGGAGAGGAGAGCAATGGAGACTAAAGGAAAGAGGGAAGAGGATGAGTGTAGAAAGAAACCCTATTAGAAAAAAAAAACTCTAATCTATTTGAGGGTACGTTGGTATTCTTAATTCAAAACCTGATGTGCCATATGACAGAAAAATTAACTGTTTTGTCCCCAATTGAATGATCGATCCATAGTCCACACTAAAACTCCGTGGCACACCCATTAGTATCTTTATAATACATAATAATACAAAAAGCTTCACCATATCCAGAAATCACCAAAAATCATCAAAAAATATAAATAAAAAAATTATCGATCTGTTTGATGGAGATATCTTCCACACGTTCACCACGACTAAGATCTCATTGTCGTGCTCATTACAATGCTGTAAGGCTGTGTGTTTGACTTAAGCTTCTCCATGGTGAGGCCTCATTTTCTTCCTCAACTCCGACGACACCTAGGAGGAGAAGTGCAGTAACAATATATCAATTTGTCTCTTGTTGGTGAGATCGCCTCAAATCTTTTTCAATGACAAGAGAGGAGACGACGAAACAAGGAGGAGCAACACAAGGCTATTGCACAGGGAGATGATGACGACGAATGTACTGCAAGATGGCGTCGACTGGTTGCACAAAGGTGTCACTAAAGAATGACATGATAGAGCTTGGCGGCGATGAAGGATAATGAGAGCAAGATTGATTGAAGGAAAGAGGGAAGAGAAAGAGTGTGCAAAGAAACTCTATCAGAAAGAAGAAAACTCTAATATGTTTGAGGGTATGTTGGTCTTCTTAATTCAAAATTGATCCACGCCATAACTCTGTGGATAGAGCTAGGCCGACCCGATCCTATATTTTTTAGGCTTAGGACCAGGCTGGGTCAATCCTCTCTCCTTTAGGGCCCCGGCCTAAAAATCATAGTTTTAAGGATTTTTTTAAAAATATATTATAAAATTTCAGGTTGGGCCGGATTGACCCTCTCTTTTTTAAGGCCGAGCCGGGCCACCTCAAAGTTTCTTTTAGACCGTCAGGCCTGGGTCGGATCGGGTTGTGCGGTCCAAACTTACGCCTCTATCAGCGGCACACCCCCTAAATATCTCTTTAATTTAGTCTAGGGTCGGGCTTCTAAATTAGAACGTTATTGGGCTTATTGTTTCCAAGCAATCAAGTCGACCCAACCTCGTTTTCCATTGGAATTGGACCATGGGCGTATTTTTCCAATGGAAGCCCAATTCGACGCCGTCGCGTCTCGCCGTCATTTCTAAAATTTGGATTTTGAAAAGAGTCGGACACACTCGTTGAAATCTGACGCACACTCTCTCATCATAAAATCTCCTCCTTCCTCCTTCCTCCTTCCTCGCTTCTCTTCTCTCTTCCCCTTCGTTCCTCCAAACTCTCTCATACTCACAGAAAAACGACTGCCAAAATCTCGGAAAGATACACCAAACGACGGAGAACTAGGGCCGTCTCTTCGTCTCCGTGAAGAGACAAAGGAGAGCGCAAAAATCGGAAGCCCTAGACTGTCGCCGCCGTCGTTTTCCGCTTCAGGAGAGTTAGGGTTCACGACGCCATGGGAGGAAAGCTCGGGAATCGCACAATTCGGAGGGGCCACTGAGATGTGACGAGTTTAGATTTTTGGTTTGGAGTTCGAAGCGAGTGTTTTAGGAGAGGAGAGAGAAAGTTAGAGAGAGAGAGAGATGGAGGGGGGAGGAAGGAGGATTTCGGCGAGCCCTAGACCGTGCAGTGTTCGGAGAGTTCTGGCCAAGAAAAGGCCTCGAGTTGGGGGAGTCGACGGGTTCGTCAACAGCGTGAAGAAGCTTCAGCGACGGGAGATCAGTTCCAAGCGCGACCGCGCTTTCACCATGAGCGACGCCCAAGAGAGGTTTCGCAATATCCGCCTCCAGGTCTGTTCCTTTCTCTGTTCATGTTGTTTTTGTTATTTGATTTTTATGAGTGTTCTGCAAATTTTTGGGCTTTGCCATGCTTCATTTTTAGGGCTATTGCTTGAAATTTGAATAAACGAATCGGTAGACTAGGGCTTTTGTTTTTAGATAATTAGGTTGTTTGATCCTCTATAATTTTGTGTCAATGATTAGTTTTAAGTATAAATTTAAGTTGTAAACGAAGTCTCTAGTTGTGTCGTTTTGAATTGTTTTTAATATTTTGAAGTCTTGATTTACTTTCATCAACTATTAAGTTTAGAAGTATGCTAATTTGAAATTTTGATCCGTTAATTTTGTCGTATATTGCGCTGAAAAGGTGGGTTGTTTCTCAAAAAAGCGTTGGTGTTGTTAATCACCGTCTTGTAGCTTCGTTCAAGTAAAGCCAATCCTTTTTAGTATTCGAACTTTCTCAACTTTGCATTGATGAATGAAAGGTTAGATATTGATGCATGGCTCGTTTATTCTGAAACTATGGTGAAGCAAATGCTCGGGAATGATACTGTTGTTTGTGTTTAGACTTTTATAGTTCTGCATATGATGTGATTATATTGCATGGGTATGTGTTCAGGAGGAATATGATACCCATGATCCAAAGGGTCATTGTTCAATGGTACTACCTTTTTTGCGGAAGAGGTCCAAGATCATTGAGATTGTAGCGGCACGTGACATCGTGTTTGCTCTTGCCCAATCTGGTGTTTGTGCAGCTTTTAGTAGAGGTAATAGCTTTAACCTTTCTCGTTGTAATCTTCCATAAGATTTTATGTTGAACAGCCTTGTTGCAGCTAAACTGTATTGACCAGAATTTAAAATGTTTTTATCATTGGATGCAGAGACTAACGAAAGGATATGCTTTCTCAATGTCAGTCCGGATGAAGTTATACGCAGCTTGTTTTACAATAAAAACAATGACTCTCTTATCACGGTTTCTGTTTATGCTTCAGACAATTTCAGTTCTTTGAAATGCAGGAGTACAAGGATTGAGTACGTATATCCCCCGCCCCCCTCCTTCATTACAAAATTTTAAAGAATAAAAAAAGATAAGAGAAAGTACAGAGGATAATAAATGACTGCTTGTTTGGTTGTGGTTTTGTTTGCTTTCTTATATTTCTCTCTAAAGACGCTGTTCTTTTGTTTGTTTAGATACATAAGGAGGGGCAAACCAGACGCTGGCTTTGCTCTTTTTGAATCTGAGTCACTGAAATGGCCTGGTTTTGTAGAGTTTGATGATGTAAATGGGAAAGTACTCACATATTCTGCACAGGATAGGTAATTACTATTTTTCTCATATGTATATATATTTATTTATTTCTATTTACTCTGATTCAAGACACCCTTGGCTTCTTGAAATTGATATACCTTTGTTTTCTCTTATGGATTCAGTATATATAAGGTGTTTGACCTGAAGAACTATACCATGCTATACTCCATATCTGATAAAAATGTTCAGGAGATAAAGATCAGGTATGGTTTCTTCACATGCTGAAGTTTTTAGCCACATATTCTGTGGTGCTGTTTCATATGCTTTGCATGAGCAATATTGTTTCAAAAATTTATTCCTTACTATAGGTATCTTTTCCAATTTTTTCTGTCTTACTTTCTCTAACAGTCCTGGGATCATGCTGTTGATTTTAACTAAGGCTAGTGGCCATGTTCCTCTTAAGATTCTCTCTATAGAGGATGGCACTGTTCTTAAATCATTCAACCATCTCCTCCACCGAAATAAGAAAGTGGATTTCATTGAACAGTTCAATGAAAAGCTTCTTGTCAAGCAAGAAAATGAGAACCTCCAGATTCTTGATGTGAGGATCTTTCTTGAAACTTTTTGTATTAGTTTCTGTTCCCTTGCCTTTGGATATCTGACTGGTAATTTTGCAGGTTCGTAACTTTGAGCTAACAGAAGTTAGCAGAACCGAATTTATGACGCCGTCGGCTTTTATATTTCTGTACGAGAACCAGTTGTTCTTGACGTTCAGAAATCGGACTGTTGCTGTTTGGAATTTCCGTGGTGAGCTTGTTACTTCATTTGAGGATCACCTTCTGTGGCACCCTGACTGCAATACAAATAACATTTACATTACCAGCGACCAGGATCTTATTATTTCTTACTGCAAGGCTGATTCTGATGATCCATTGTCTGAAGGAAGTGGTAATTTCTTTAACTTCATATTTTAAATACAAATGGAGTCACTCGATTTTAAACTCTACCCGGCTATAATTTTTGTCAGGTTGGGAAGTGAATAATGCTTTTAGGATAATGTGGAATCATGAATTATGACCCATCTTCACGAAGATGAAAAATTGGAGGATAAAATTTAGGTTTAAAAGTACCCACTCTAGTTTTAACATTGGAGGTATTTGTTATTTTTGAAATCCAGAATTGAAAATTTTGTTAGTCTTTATTGCCTCTAGAAGTCATAATCATATTGGATCTTACCTCTCCGAGCCTCCAACAACCCCTAGGATGATCTTGTTCAATCTTCTTGTTCAGAGGACCATTGCCTATTGTGGTTTAGAGGATGGAGCTAGGGAGTTCACCAAAACGGTAATTGGTCAGAAGTTGAGCCATCGCCTTGTTGTCTGTGGTCGACCCATTTGTTTTTAGGGGTAAATTGGGTGGTTTGATCAAAAGGGTTTCACTTTCTCCTTTCTGTAACAAAAAATTTTCCCCTCATGATGAGCATTAGTTGGTTTATCTATTTATTTATTTATTGATTTATTTTTGTACAAGTTTGTATGATTTCTAACAGTGCTTTTATTTCTATTGCAGCAGGGTCGATCAATATCAGTAATATTCTGACAGGAAAATGCCTTGCTAAAATAAGAGCAAGTAACAGCAACCCAATGGAAAACGAAAGCTGTTGTAGTAGCAGTTGCAGCTCAAAGAAGCGGACTCAAGCTGCCAGAATTCGGAGCACGGTCGTGGAAGCTTTGGAAGACATTACCGCTCTCTTTTATGACGAAGAGCGGAACGAGATCTACACGGGCAATAGGCATGGTCTAGTACATGTATGGTCTAACTAATGTGTTTTTTCAGTTTATTCCTTTGTGTCCCATTAGATTCTTTATTGCTGTTCTTAATGGTTGAATATTTTGAATTGATTGTGTTGGTGTATTGCAAGAACTCGGAACTCTGTATCATTAAATGGCCTTGTACCAAGTCGTATAATACGTGTTTAACTAAATCCGTGTCCCCTCCCTCTTATACCCTGCACTTAAGTTGAAAACCTATTTGATAGAGTGGCTTTTCTTGGCGAATATATCTCGTACACCGGTACGCGTTCTCTACATTTGATCTTTTTTTTTTTTTTTTTTAATTTTTATAATATAATTGATAAAAATATTGTCATTGTCTAATGTCTCTTCAAGTAGAGGTTGAAATGCAATATGTAAAATTTTGAGTCAACTCATAGACCGGTCAGCCTCCGCTAGCCTTTAATCTGTCTTGTCATGAATCCCTTTGTGGACAATCCGTGTGCCACTTGTTCGGGATAACGTATGAAATGATTTTTAGTTATTGTAATTTTTTTTTTCCTGGAAATTTTTATAGTAGGGACTACCATTTCACCCTGCCAATAGAAACTACTGTTATTATAGCCGTTCATTAGTATACGTTTGATGCGTGTCATGATTTGGTTTGTTATTGTGTTTTTTTATTTATTTATAAAAAATATACATAAATTGAGAATGATTTTAAATTATAATTTTAAATTTATGAATTAAATTTTAAGTTTTTAAAGGTTTGATATGTGAGCAGGAATAATTTTGTGTTACGGGTTGTAATTTTTAAAGCGAACATTCACAAATTGGATTTGAAAAACTAACCGAACAGGGATTTGAAAAACTAACCTAACAGTTTCCAACCAGTAGTAGTATGATTCAAAATTAGATTTTACTGGTAGGAAAATACACTATCATATGAGTTTCCTATTATTTTAAGCTGGAGACAGATTTTTTATGCATTGACTTGAAACATCTAAACCCCTGATCCCATTTGCGTTTTGTAAAATCTACCATACAAATTTAAGTTTGCCTCAATTAACCCAACTCCTCCCTCTTGTAAGACTCAATCAAGGTGCCAAATTATGCCGAGTGGATAAATTAGGAGTTAAAACTCGTGTGTGTGTGTGTCTATATATATATATATATATATTCTTTAGGATTTTTATGCGGACGAGCTATGCTGAACTGTAATGCATTCTCAGCTTCACATGCATTGCAAGTGTCGCCAGATTTACTTTTCTAGAAGCAAAAGCGAAGACGCCATCAGTGGAGTTATAGCTTTACGATTTGGCAATCTCCATCTCTTCTCTACCCAGTTACGGCTTCTGGATACACTAATCAATGGGCTCTTTTTCAATCTTTCCCTTGCAAAAGTCTCTTGCCATTTTTGCACTTTGGGCTTCCGTAAAAGCTTACACTTCACACCATCTTCAACCGAAACCAATAAACACGACTCTTATGGAGAATTTTATGCTTATGTATGAAAAATATATTATTGATAATCAATGACATAATATCAACCTTTAGATTCTCGTAAAATTCCGCTCCTAATATGATACATAATTAAACTGTAGATTCTCATAAAAAGTTTGTTAAATTGTATTACTTTTTCACTTTGATATCATCTAACAATTAGAAACTCAATTATTATTATTATTTTTTTAAATTCTCAAAAACTCAATTATTTTTAAAGTATTTCTCTCTCCTATCAGAATCCTCCAAAGTCTTTTTGAGTTGTAAAAGCTATGGATGTGAAATGTGACGTATGGGAGGGTGTAAATATGACACCTATACATGCTATTGAAAAAAATGACACCTACACAAGCCTACTCACTCGTCTTTGAACATGAAAATAATTTATGCATTTAATTGATCGACAAATTTGGGAAGAAATTATAAATACTTAGCAAAAAGTAATTGGGTGCTTTTAATTAGAGTACTAATTAGTTAATTCATAACTACTTTTGTAGTAAGGGAGTGTTTGGTAGATAAATCTAAAATTATGATTTTAAATTTTGATTCAGAATAATGTTTATTTATAATGATTTTGAATTATGATTCAGAATTAGTATTTGGTTTGGATGATTATGAATTATGATTCAAAATCTGATGTAATGTTTTAAATCAAAATCACTTAAGATTCTAAAACCATTCCCCTCTTAATAAGGTGATTCAAACTCCTGATTTTGAATCATAATTTTAGAATCATGATTTAAACTCAAAATCATAAATCACGATTTTAATTTTAAAAATAAAATTAAATCACATTAATTTAAATCTTCGTATCAAACGAATTTTAAATTTAGCTTTGCCTTCATAGGACGCAATTTAGATGTATAATCTGACAAAATTTTTATTTTTATTTTTATGAAAAGCAATTATAGTAGTAGTTAGAGCTTGCCGATCTATTTCAACGATTTTTATTATAGCACGGTGGGCGGTGCTACTTAGACATTCATAGTTTATGGATCATTTATTTATTCTTTTTCAATTATCAATTATATCGTATCATTCTTCACTGCAAAAGAGAGAGAAAAAGATTTAAAAAAAGCTCTGACAAAACGGATGATTATTTTAAAATGGGTAGGTTTTAGATCTTGAAAATCAAAAGTGAACTAACACACTTTTTTTTAATTAAATTAAATTATTTTCAAATGCTAATGAGGGAAAATCCCGTAAAATCTACCAAAGTTTGAATTATTTTATTCCAAAATTTTGTCCCTTTAAACAACGGGACACGACCATGTGATTTTTGAGAATAAGAGAAGGAGAGAACCAACAAGCGCGGTTGCTTTCGAAAATCGAATAATTGGAAAACAAAATATTTTTTTATATAAAAAAGAGAGGAAACTTAACTTACACATTAAAAAGAAAAAAAATAAAAAAAAGAAAAGATAAAAGAGAAAAAAGAAAGGAAAGGAAAACCGACAAAAGATAAAGAAAAGTTGTCCATCGTAGTGGGGGGGGGGGGAAAAATAGAGAGCGTGAAATTCACGCGCCATGAATTGCCGTTATAAATAGAATTTTGGGAAAAACTGGTGGTGTGGAATTAGTGCAACACAAACGCAATCGACGCGTTGGGCTTTTAATTTTATTTATAAATTTTTAATTTAATCCAAAAAAATCTTTTTTTTTTTTTTTGGTGTCTTATGTAGGCTTCTTATGGCTAAGCAGCAGTAGTTACCACTACCAGGACTTTTATTTATTTTTTATTTTCCATTTTTTTTCTAGCTTCTTTCACACTCATTTTCTTCTTCTTCTTTTTCTTCTTCTTCTTCTTCTTCTTTGTCTTTCAGTGAACAGAAATACAGAATTTGAGCTCCGGATTTTCTACTTCTCTTCGCGCATTGACTCGCCAAAGGTAATCAAAGCTAAATATTTTGCTTCTCTGTCTTCTTCTCATTTTCATTTCTTTTTCTCTCGTCTTTCGCTTCGCGATGGGTTTGGGGATTCTCCATTCTCGTTTCTGCGCTGCATTCACGATTTCGGGCTTCGATTTCGTTGTTTTCCGAGTGTTTTCGAGTCATTATGAGCTTAATTTAGTGGAAATGCCGGTTTGTTTCGAACTTTAGATTGGTGTCGAGCTTCTCGCGGTGGGTATTCATGTTTAATTTGTTCTTTGATTTTCTTGTTTGTTGTTATTCGTGTTGGAATCGGATTTTTTCGTGAGTTAGGTTTGTTCATTGTCTAGATCTGACTGAAAAATGCCGACATTTTTGCTGTGGAATCTGAAAGATGCTTACTGATACTCGATTTATGGTTAAGTTTTAGTTTGTTTACTTTTTTTTTCTTCTTTTTGAGCATGATTTACAGACTTATAGTTGTTCTTTGAGAGCAATTTTCTAGTTTGTGAATGCGCAGAAGTCGGAGTATTAACTGTAATGATAAGTAGTTTTGGTCAAACAGTTTGCATCAATAAGAACACTATTTTATGCTTTTGGGTCTTTTTTTTCATTGGAATTAATCCGGCGGACATAATAGTTACGGAAAATTTCGGCAACCTTCATTTTTTTGAGTAATATTTAATTCAAACATGATATCGAAGTGAGCTATTCTAGTATTCTTACGTAATTTTGTTTTCAATAATCGTTCAGTATATTCCTGCTTCAGTCGTAAGTGGGTTGAAAATGGTGGGTCGTGTAGATGGTGATGCACCTCTTGATTATGCTGAAATCCAGATTTTATGCTTTTGGGTCTTTTTTTTTTCATTTGAATTAATCCTGCGGACATAATAGTTACGGAAAATTTCGGCAACCTTCATTTTTTTGAGTAATATTTAATTCAAACATGATATCGAAGTGAGCTATTCTAGTATTCTTATGTAATTTTGTTTTCAATAATCGTTCAGTATATTCCTGCTTCAGTCGTAAGTGGGTTGAAAATGGTGGGTCGTGTAGATGGTGATACACCTCTTGATTATGCTGAAATCCAGATTTTTCCAGCCCAGAACAGGTTCCTGTTTTTCCTCAATAGCTATTTGTGATCTCCTAATCTTATGAATTCCCTAAAATATGCTATTTTTTTTTTTTTTTGGTGGGTTTGTATGGATGTGCTTCAGGTATGAGGCGAGTGTTTGTAGCAACGGAAACATAGAAAATTTGGAAGCTGGGCTTCTAGAATTACTATTGCCACATTTACCAAAAGTAAAGGAATTGTATTCTAAAGGATCAAATTCTACATTCAAACTTTCACTATTGGGAAATCTGAATGCTGCACCTTGGTTTACAAAGTCAACTTTAAACAGGTTAGAATTGGTTTAAGTACTTCTTTTCTTGCCCTTCTTCTTATTCTGTTCTATAAGGGCTTTTGGAGCACTTTTGTTTCCTGATGGTGCATTCCTTTTTACTCATCAGATTCTTACAGATTGCTAGTTCGCCAGATTTGGTACATGTCACCAGTTCGATTAAAGATGAGATGTCCCAATTGGAGGAAGCCAGAAAGTTTCATCTGTCTTTGTATGGGCAGGTGATCCAATCTTCCGCTCTTTAAAATTTATGTTCCATCTTGTGTTGATGCAGAGAAATGGTGATTCTTTTTTTTTTTTTTTTTTTTTTGGGGGTAAAGATTATCTGGCTAATTAGTAATTAGTGTGTATTGTTGGTTGGCAACAGCCTGAGGTCGAGAATGCATCATCAGATACTTCAAAGTACGTCATTGTAATTTTTCATCATCATTTAATTTATATTCTTTTCTTTTTCTTTTGAAGGAATTTTGATTTCAACTCTCACTAAGTTGTGGAAATATATAACATCAGGAATGAGCTTTTGCGAGCTATGGACTTGAGGCTGACAGCATTGAGAACGGAATTAGCTGCTAGTTTCTGCAAAGATGCTTGTTCTGTATGCTCAACCAAAGAGATTTTTGATTTGGCCAAATTTACTGAACACTTTGGAGGAACGGATTTAAAGTATGTTGCTCATCAACTAAAACGTGGGCAATAATATCTTACTTTGTTAAGTTACTTTTCATCATAAATGTTCTTACAAAAAGCACATTACATGGGATGTTGCAGGAACTCTATGCACAATTTTTTGGAGGTGAATCAAGAGAGCGAAAGTGGGCATCCTCAAAACGAGGGCAAGGGCTCATTAACAGGCCATTCAAGGAATGATGAAAATAAGACAGACAGAGATGTTCAGATATCAAAACCAATGTATTCAGACACACCAGTGAAGTACGGCGTTTCACCTGCAAAAGCTGCTCAGGTTGAGCGACAGACTTCGACAGAAAGTGAAGAGTCTTCTGAGTCGAGTGATGAGGACAGACCATCTGCAGAAAGAAGTCGAGCTCTAATAAGATCTGCATCACCCAGAAGGTCAGCATCTCCAATGCGGAGGGTACAAATAGGAAGAGGTGGATCTCGCAGGGCAGCTGCATTGACCATTAAGAGCCTAAGCTATATTCCAGCTCGAGATAAGAGTTTTCCGTATAGAGATTTAGCTGGAAATAGTAGTGAGGAGGAGGGATCTGAGCAAGCAAACAAAAAACCTGAGACTCATGTACGAAGGATGTCTGTTCAAGATGCAATAAATCTTTTTGAAAGCAAGCAAAGGGATCAAACTGGAGATAGTCAATTAAGGAAATCATTATCAAATATATCAATATCTGCAAATAAAACTGTGCTGAGAAGATGGAGTGCAGGAATGGGAGATGCTTCTGCTCCATGCCAACCTGAACCTGAAGACTTTGGTCCTATGACTTCTGATGATGTAGCAACTGATGAGAATTTGAAGTATACAGCAGAAGTGAAATCAGAGTCGGAAACTGCACCCACTGGCGAGGAGGGCGTTGAAACCCCTGAAATTTATGTAAATTTAGAAAGATTGGAAAAGAGTTCATCTGACCCAATAGACATCCAAAAAGATACTAACATGGCTAGCGAAGAAGAGAACAGTATCAAAAAATCAACGGCAGCAACTGAATGGAATCGACGCAAGGAAGCAGAGTTGAATCAGATGCTGATGCAAATGATGGAATCTAAGCCTGTCAACTATACAAAGACACAAAATAGCAAAAAACAAAGTGTTCCTTCTGGACAGAGAGGTGGATTTTATGATCACTACAAGGAGAAGAGGGATGAAAAGCTGCGAGGTGAGAATTCTAGGAAGAAAGCAGAGAAAGAAACTCAATTTAAAGTGATCCAGAAAATTCTTGACGAGAGGAAAGCTGAAATGGCTTCTAAAGATGTGAATGATGTTGATAAAAATTCTGCTGTGCGGAAGTCCCAAAAATCACTTAGAAATTCACCTCAACCAGCAAACCTCAAAAAGGAAACTGTAAAAGCATCTGCCGTAAAGAAGAATTCGCCTAGAACATCACCCTTGCCTCCCACACGCAAGTCGTGGCCATCAACACCACTGGCAAGAGCCGCAGGCACGTCACCAGCTAAAACTCCTCTTGGCAACTCTTCTGCTGGTACTACCCCGACACGTCGGAAAACGCAGCAAACATCATCACTTCCTCGAGTTAGCCCCAAAGTGGAAAGGCCCCAGCAGCCACAAAGAAGTGTGAGGGAACCTCTGGTTGAAAGTGGCAAGAATACGAAGAACGTGAAAGGTGTTTCTGAGAAGCCGCAGCAAGCACTGAAAAAGAGTACTAAAACAACAAAAGTGAAAAAGGTGACAGCTTCTGAGGATTGTTCAGATGTAGTCCCAGCAAAGCCTGGTTTGTATAACAAGGTAACCAGAAAAAGCACTGTAGTGCCTGTGGAAACAAAACCTTTTCTTCGGAAGGGTTCGAGGACTACCCCTGGTGTCAGTCCTACCCCTGGTGTCAGTCCTACCGTTAACAAGACAAAAGGTCCTTCCCAATCCGAAGAATCTTTGAAAAACAGTGGGACTATCACTGAGGCACGAGAAACTGAGGTGGTTGCTAGTGTTTCCGAACTGGTGAGTCAGCATGAAGAGGGGGATGTCACACCATTAGATAATCCGGATGCTGCCATGGAATTAGAAGCTCCTGTACATACCAACCAGGGATTTAGTGGGGTAGCCTGCTGATGGTAATGATGACATAAAGAAAAATGTTGAAGACTTGTCACCGGAAATTCAAGCCGAGGAAGAATTAATAATCTCCCCATCAGCCTGGGTTGAAATAGAAGAGGAACATCAGGTCGTGCCACCCTGCGATGATGGGCCATGCCAGCCTGCCTCTAAAGCCAATATTGAGCCGGTTGGATCATCGAGTCCACGGGTTCGTCATTCTTTGTCCCAAATGCTGCAAGAAGAGAGTAATGAACCTGATATTATGGAATGGGGAAACGCTGAAAATCCTCCTGCCATAGTCTACCAAAAAGATGCACCCAAAGGATTGAAGAGGCTCTTAATGAAGAGCAAAGGAGATGCAAATGTCAGTGGTTGGTCGAGCCCGTCAGTCTTTTCTGAAGGCGAAGATGATGCAGATAGCCTAATGAGAAGGGCTGCTCTTAATGCAAAGAACCATGGACCGCAAAAAACCTCTTTGTGTGAAAGTTATGATGCTCGTGAACTATATTCTGGTGAGTTTGCTTCTTACCGTTGATCATATTGATCATTTACTCTTCATTACTTTGTCCCATACGTCGCTGACCAAAAACACTGATATCTACTTTGCTAAAGAAGTCTTAAATATTTGATACTACTAGTGAGAAAAAAAGGTCTTCATTATATTTCTACTTCTTTAACCTTTAAATTATATTACTATTATTATTATTTAAGAATTTGATGTCAACCTTATTACTGTTGTGGCTTACGTGCATGCAGCTCAATCAAATATTGGCAAATTCAATAGCAGCGACTCAGCTTCAGTACCCGCAACTAAAGGTGGGTTTGTCTTCACATACGATTTTGAGTTTGACTAAATACACATTCTTGGCTTTTAGATGTTTTTCAACATTCTCTCCTGCTGCTTCGTGCATAAATTAATATCTATCTCTTTTTTCATTTCGTTTTTATGCTACAAGAATTCAAATTTCTAATTGATTGATCTTATAAACTTTTTTTTTTCCCCATTCTTTTTTCGGCTTTCAGCTACAAGATCATTCTTCTCCCTCTCAGCATTCAGGGGCGGTGCGAAATAAGATCATGTTTGTTCACTTCTACTGCTTCTAGCGACGAGTATTAAGTTAGCGTTAATGGTGAAAATTTGCCTTCGTTTAGAGAAAAGCAAAATTTCAACTTTTTGCTGCCCCATCGGCCACGGTTTGTATTGTTCCTGGTGCAGAGAAAAGATGTTATTCAAATATATTTCCGTTGTTCTTTTAATTTTTATTTCTTTTTCCCATTTCATGTCCTGGGTTGTACATTCAATTTGCCCTGGTTCTAGGATTTCACCATGCTAAGCTTTTTGTTCCTTATGAAATTTGTTCAGTCGACTAACCACTGCTTTTGTAAACCCGGGCTACTTGAATAACGAATGCAATTTTTCACAAGGCTCCATGCAACTGGTATTCAAATGGGCATTTTCAAAAAGATAAAATTAAAATCAAATTACTTGGTTTTTTACAATGAAAATTTTTCTGTTTCTTTTCGAAGGAACTGTAGATGAGGAAATATGAAGTCCGCATCCGATCCATAATAACATGAAAAAATCTTGACCACTCGATTTATGCTGTCAACGGCAGCAGGATCATTCAAGGACAGCTGAATGGATGAGAGCTTCACAAGTTCATGTCCAATGACAATATGATTACAAGTGTAGAGCTTTTCTAAGATCTGTTAGAGAAAAAAAATGAAAATATCATACTCATGATTAATTAGTAATCATTGAGGTAAATTATTCAGACCCATAATAATTGGACAAAGAACCAAGTGTAATGATATAATATGTAATGTAATAACATATGCGTTACCTCTATTGATGCTTTACAGTGGTCCCTTGCAAGTTGTAAGTCCCCAACCATACAAAAGGCCTGCGCAAGAATGTCTTCCACCTACCAATATCAAACAAACCATTAATAAATTAATCTCGTGTTTTTTTTAAGCAAATCTATGAATTACGGTCACCAAAATATTTTATGCATAATGAAGTTGAACCAAGAATTTATATAACTTAGCTTCCAACGTTTTGTTTTGTTTTGTTTTTTTAAAAAAAAAACAAATTTTAGTTTTTTAACCATCCAATGAGGTGGAATCATGTGGCTTCTACCATCCAATGTTTGGTAACATCTATGAATATCCACACGTAAGCTCCATTTGTGGTTGCAAGCATAGCCTAATGTAAGTTCATATATATATATATATATATATTGATAAAATACAGGATTGAACCTGCGACCCCCATTCAAACCCCCCAATGTCAGTAGACTAAGAGGTCTCAGGCTTTAGTGTAAGTTCATATTTGACTCCACTTTTAAAGAGTAAAGTCTAAATCCAACAACCAAGTTAAGAAGGAAATAAAAATCAAACAAAGTCTAGGTATTTATATATTAGAAAACGAATCCAATAGAGATTAATATATGGATAGAAGTCTAAACCTTACCTCTGCGATTCTCCTATTATATGCATGCAGAGTTGATTTCAGCAAATCAAGAGATGTTAGGGTATCTGATAGTTCGGAACTAGATATATCTTCTGAAACTATACCATCCTGTAACCTGTCAAGAATTGAAGTGTCTTTAAAGTATACAGACTGAAGGTAGCATATATGCCCATTGGTTTTTCCAGAATTGACTCTTAAAATTCAATGTGAAATCAATATTACTCCCTTTGTTCAGTATTGCCCCTTTTGTTTAAACTGCTTAAGTTGATCTATTCTAATAAAGGGGCAGTTATGATTAAGGAGGTCAATAGTAGAAAGGTGACTATTATAAAAGGGAGTTTTGCAACTTTCCCTATTTAATAGATAATGAATAAGATAGGAACCAAATTTCAGACTTGTACCTTCTGATACATTTCCAAGCTTTATTTACTGTTGCACGAGAAGTTTCTAGATCACAGTAGGAGCCACATTTCAGACAATTCCCAGGATTTACATTGGATGAACTGTTGCTGTCTAAAAATGCATCTAGCATCACTTCATTGGCATAATCACTGTTAAAATTCTCAACCTGTTAAGAACGTTGAAAGAAGAAGAAAGTGAAGAAAATGGCTTGCAAGAAGAGAATCTAAATCAACGCAACTTATATGATCCATATCATGGTCGTCAGATGTCTTCTTACAGTCAAAATAAAACAGCGTGAACATAGAATACCTGGAAATGAGGTTCCCAGTTGCTTGTACCCACAATGTCATAGAGTTGCTCAATTTTATGCTTTTCACAGTTCAGAACACCGCTGTCCACTACTATACCGGAACAATTTGGTTTGATACAATGGAAAGCGTGTAGAACAAGGTCAGAGAAATTTGCTTTCAAACAAGCACGACACTGACATCGAAATGAGTACTCATCTTCCAGCAACTTGATACGATCTTTACAGTCCCACTGCCCAACCTGTAAGAGAAGACCAAACATCTCAATCACGCATCACACAATTGACAACACGATACTAGTATCTAGCCTAGGAAAGAGAAGGGCTACCAAAATTTGTACACCATATACTATAATTGTGACCGAAGAAAAAACAAAGAAATCTTGCTAAGCAATTCCAGGAAGATAGAAAGACAAAGAAAACAATGGCATTTTCTCATATTGCCCCAAAACTGAGTGAAGCCCCACCCCACTTGTTGAGAGGCAGCATACCTGTAGACCATAGGACAACTCCAGGGGACACCCAGCTGCTACAGTTTCTGTTGTTCGAATGAAGAGTGTACGTGAAAGGAAATAGGCATGAATGTTGGGCTGGCAAGAATGGTTTAACAAACTTCCAGCCTTATAAATAGCTTGACCTACTTTAACCTGGGAAAGTAACAAAAATGTTGATAAGTATGACTTACAAGTTGCCATGTGTTTGCGGTAAAATTAGAACTACTATTTTTGACGCTAATAAAAATGATAAGCATTAAACATTAAGGGTATTTAACTAATAAAAGTAAAAGTGCATAAAAAAAAGAATGAAAAATTGAAAAATAATAAACATGAGTAGCTAATTGGAATTAGACAAAAATTAAATAACAAGAGCAGGTAATTGGATCGACTTGAAAGTAAAATAAAAAGCCCAGGTAATTGGATTAATTAGAAAATAAAATAACAGGACCAGATAACTGGATTAATTAACTAAAATAGATGAAATGCGGCATGGACCAATTCATGGAACTAGAAAATAACATAAAGTAAATGAAAAAAAAAAAAATTAAATACCATTCGGGAAAAAAAAATGCATAAAATGTAAAAATAAAAAAAAAAAGCCGAAATAAAGTGAAGAGATAAGAGCAAAATGAAACAAGTAGGAATTAGATTATGAATAACTTTATTAGAAAGACTTATCTTTTAAGTGTACATGTAACACCACAAACATAACTGACATTTTAGGGTTTGTAGCTCAATAGCTCTTAGACTAGATTCTTGATTTTGTTTCATCTCTATAGGAACTTTTTTTGTTGTTTAGGATAAGAAGAGAAGTAAAGGATATATAGATTTAGGACTTAGAATGTTAAGATACTAGGCTGCAATTTGCGGAAGGAAGGAAGAGGTAAAGGAGAAGAAAGAACTAAGAGGGAGATGAGGGGAATGAGAGTTTGTCAATTTCTCTATGGCTAGTTGTGTCTTGTTTCTCTAAAATGACAGAGTATTTATAGACTTCTTGCTCCTAAAAACCTCCAAAACCAGCCCTTTGATTTCTATAGTGGTTTCCTTGAAACCGATCAGGTTTTGCATGCCTTTGAAGCTAGTCAAGTGTCCAACACCATTTGACACTTGTTTTTGAGGTTGGTCAGGTGTCAAGGACCCTTTGACACTTGTTTTTGAGGTTGGGCAGGTGTCAAAGACCCTTGACACTTATTATTTAAGCTGTCCAGCTGTTGAAGCGTCGTTTGAAACCTGATTTTCTGTTGTCCAGCTGATAAGGTCTTAAAATATTTGATTTTCTTCATCATACCAACACTTCTTAATCCTCTTGTGGCTGCTTTTTTACAAACAACTTTTATTATTATATTTTTTAAAAATAATTTTAGTTATAACACTTTTTTTACTCCAAAACATTTAGTCCCCTGAATTGTAATAAATAAAACATTCATTACAATTCATCTATAAAACCCTCTCGTCATCCTTCTCAACCACCAACATGCACTCTAGTTTCATTTATCCTTACTTTCCCTTAAACAATCAAATGACTAACTGTAACAATAGAGCTTCTTCTTCAAGAGCTAATTCATATGAGCTTCCAGCCCTTCCTTCTTTTCCCGAAGTGAGGAGAAATCCAATAGAGCCACTAAATTGTACGAGCACATCGACGTCCTTAACAACCAACTCTCCGATCATCATGTTCAAACTCGAGCTCATTTAGAGTACTACTAGCAAAGAGTGGCGGAATTGGAAACGCAAATTGCTCATGCATTCAAATGCATCTCAGAAATTCAAGTGTACGTGGAGGCCAAAATCTCCCAACTTGAATCAAAATTGGCTAGCATTGAGACTAAACTTAGTGCAGCTTATATTGAGATTCAGTGTTGGAGGGATATATATTGGAATCTCTGAGAGAATGTAGTTGCAGTCCCTATTTACACCTAGCCCTCAACTTACTTCGACGGTCCTCATTCATCCAACCGCCAATCCTTTCATGGAGCTCTGTGAGGTCTTAAAATATTTGGTTTTCTTCATCATACCAACACTTCTTAATCCTCTTGTGGCTGCTTTTTTACAAACAACTTTTATTATTATATTTTTTAAAAATAATTTTAGTTATAAAACTTTTTTTTTACTCCAAAACATTTAGTCCCCTGAATTGTAATAAATAAAACATTCATTACAATTCATCTATAAAACCCTCTCGTCATCCTTCTCAACCACCAACATGCACTCTAGTTTCATTTATCCTTACTTTCCCTTAAACAATCAAATGACTAACTGTAACAATAGAGCTTCTTCTTCAAGAGCTAATTCATATGAGCTTCCAGCCCTTCCTTCTTTTCCCGAAGTGAGGAGAAATCCAATAGAGCCACTAAATTGTACGAGCACATCGACGTCCTTAACAACCAACTCTCCGATCATCATGTTCAAACTCGAGCTCATTTAGAGTACTACTAGCAAAGAGTGGCGGAATTGGAAACGCAAATTGCTCATGCGTTCAAATGCATCTAAGAAATTCAAGTGTACGTGGAGGCCAAAATCTCCCAACTTGAATCAAAATTGGCTAGCATTGAGACTAAACTCAGTACAGCTTATATTGAGATTCAGTGTTGGAGGGATATATATTGGAATCTCTGAGAGAATGTAGTTGCAGTCCCTATTTCCACCTAGCCCTCAACTTACTTCGACGGTCCTCATTCATCCAACCGCCAATCCTTTCATGGAGCTCTGTGAGGTCTTAAAATATTTGGTTTTCTTCATCATACCAGCACTTCTTAATCCTCTTGTGGCTGCTTTTTTACAAACAACTTTTATTATTATATTTTTTAAAAATAATTTTAGTTATAACACTTTTTTTACTCCAAAACATTTAGTCCCCTGAATTGTAATAAATAAAACATTCATTACAATTCATCTATAAAACCCTCTCGTCATCCTTCTCAACCACCAACATGCACTCTAGTTTCATTTATCCTTACTTTCCTTTGAACAATCAAGTGACTAACCGTAACAATAGAGCTTCTTCTTCAAGAGCTAATCCATATGAGCTTCCAGCCCTTCCTTCTTTTCCCGAAGTGAGGAGAAATCCAATAGAGCCACTAAATTGTACGAGCACATCGACGTCCTTAACAACCAACTCTCCGATCATCATGTTCAAACTCGAGCTCATTTAGAGTACTACTAGCAAAGAGTGGCGGAATTGGAAACGCAAATTGCTCATGCGTTCAAATGCATCTCAGAAATTCAAGTGTACGTGGAGGCCAAAATCTCCCAACTTGAATCAAAATTGGCTAGCATTGAGACTAAACTTAGTGCAGCTTATATTGAGATTCAGTGTTGGAGGGATATATATTGGAATCTCTGAGAGAATGTAGTTGCAGTCCCTATTTACACCTAGCCCTCAACTTACTTCGACGGTCCTCATTCATCCAACCGCCAATCCTTTCATGGAGCTCTGTGAGGTCTTAAAATATTTGGTTTTCTTCATCATACCAGCACTTCTTAATCCTCTTGTGGCTGCTTTTTTACAAACAACTTTTATTATTATATTTTTTAAAAATAATTTTAGTTATAACACTTTTTTTTTACTCCAAAACATTTAGTCCCCTGAATTTTAATAAATAAAACATTCATTACAATTCATCTATAAAACCCTCTCGTCATCCTTCTCAACCACCAACATGCACTCTAGTTTCATTTATCCTTACTTTCCTTTGAACAATCAAGTGACTAACCGTAACAATAGAGCTTCTTCTTCAAGAGCTAATCCATATGAGCTTCCAGCCCTTCCTTCTTTTCCCGAAGTGAGGAGAAATCCAATAGAGCCACTAAATTGTACGAGCACATCGACGTCCTTAACAACCAACTCTCCGATCATCATGTTCAAACTCGAGCTCATTTAGAGTACTACTAGCAAAGAGTGGCGGAATTGGAAACGCAAATTGCTCATGCGTTCAAATGCATCTCAGAAATTCAAGTGTACGTGGAGGCCAAAATCTCCCAACTTGAATCGAAATTGGCTAGCATTGAGACTAAACTTAGTGCAGCTTATATTGAGATTCAATGTTAGAGGGATATATATTGGAATCTCTGAGAGAATGTAGTTGCAGTCCCTATTTACACCTAGCCCTCAACTTACTTCGACGGTCCTCATTCATCTAACCGCCAATCCTTTCATGGAGCTCTGTGAGGTCGTAATAACAGCTTTCATGAGAGTAATGCATGATGGCTGTGACATCTACTAGGAACATTTATTAGTTCTTACAAATAAAGCTAGTTCTCATAAATAAAGCTAGTGCAACAATAGTAAAGTTCTTCCAGCTAGCACTGGACGGAGAAAAGGGAAATAAACCCAAAGTCCAACGTACCTACAATTAACCAAATCCACAGAGAAGAAAAGGCACAAGTTTCATTTGTTTCATGAATATTATTATTGATTAATCATCCATAAAGGGCAAACTTCTTGCCCTAAAAAGAGTCCAGCCAAACAAAGTTAACAAACGACCATAAAAACAAGTCCCAAAAGAGTAAAAACAAAAAGACTCCAAGACCATAAAAATGACAAGTGACAAAAGTAATTAAGGACACATAACAGATAACTAATGCCCCTGCATCAATCTCTTTTTTTGGTGGCTATGCATGTAGACGCTTCATTGTTTGTCCTGTTTGATATGGTAGAATGGGTCAGCAGGTTTACTAGTTGTTTCTTCTTTTTTTTGTTTTTTGTTTTTTGGGTTTTTTTTGTTTGTTTTGATTTGTCTGTTTTTGTTTTGTTTTTTTAATTTTAAAAACAGCTAATAACAGGTTCTGCTGTGCTTTTAAACATTATAAAGAAAATTATATTGAAAGCATATTGTTAGTCTTGTGTTTTAAACAGAAAACATACTGATTACGGAATCTGACATTGGGTGTGGCTCTTAAAAATGTCTTAGTTGAGGAAGCAAACTTTTGAGTTTTCAATGGTTTGTGTTAGTAATAATATTTAAAAAAAAAAAAAACGTAGAAAGAACTTTATTTATGAGAAAATTCTTACAAAATTAAGGAACTAATAAATGCACCTTTCATTATGCTTTCCTACAGCTCTTCTTAGTAGATGTCACAGCCATCATGCATCACCTATGGAATCCGTTATTACAACCTCGTAGAGCTCCACGAAAGGATCAGCGGTTGGA